GGGGAAGGCAAAAGATGCAGGAGCGAGGAAGGGAAGGGAACTGAGGTAGGGAAAAGGATTTGAGTGGGACGGGGAGGTAGGTCTGACTCCCAGGTGGGTGTGAACAGGCACAGTAACCGTGCCGGGCAATTCAACAGTTGTGGAAACCAGTGCTGTCCAGTGGCCTTGAGTGAGGTCCGGGAGTGATCGAACTTGATTGGAAAGGAGATGAAAAGAAAACTGGAGGCTAGCCGGAGAGAGAGAGAGGGAGAGAGAGAGGAAAGGAATGGGAGCGGGGAGAGAAATAGAGGGTGGAAGTGTACCTTAATGCCAAATCAGTGGTGTTCGCAGCAGCCAATAACGACAAGCGAGTCCGAAAGTTTTACTTGCGAGGTCCCTTGAAGTAAGAGCTGGGTTTTGGCACCATCTGATAGGTAAAAAGTTGGGAGGTGGAGAGTGAGCGGATGGAGAAGGCACCGAGGCACAGATAGAATTCTCAGCGGGATACAGCTTTATTTCGCACGGGACACATTTCCCTCGGGGGAAGGGAAAGATGTCAGCCCATGGCTTGTGAGCTGGGGCTTTAGGGTGCAGAAGGGGGGGAGAGTTTGGGGGAAAAATCAAGCAGGGGGAAGCAGGAAAAGCAGGGCTTGTAAACCTGGCTCCATTCAGTATGCCAGGCAGGATCTGGGTCTGGAAGAGTTTACTTTTTTCCTCTTAAGATGAGAGAAAAAGCTGTTGTGATAAACAGCTTCTAAAATCTCTGGTTAACAGGTAGAAAGGCAGGCTGCTTCTCAGCATAGTTTGTTTCCCTTGACTTAGATGCGAGAGCTTGTATTCCAAAACACTATGTTGGAACAGTAGTGCTCTAATTCAGAAGTTTGTGAGCATCTCACCATTGCAAAAGCTAAGGACAGCTGGCAGGAAACTTGTGAGTGAGTGGAGGAAGCAAGCCTGGACAGTTGGATTGATAGGTATAAAATAGTCTTGTGGTCAAGAGTCTCTAAATAGGCTGCAAAGTGGACCATTTTTGTACACACCAGTACTTTATTATTTTTATTTTATGTGTATGCATATATTGCCTGCATATGGGTAAGGGCACCTGTGTGCGCAATGCCTACAGAGGACAGAAGAGGCTGTCAGATCCCCTGGAACTAGAGTTACAGATAGTTGTTAGCTGCCATATGGGTGCTGGGATTCGAACCCAGGTCTTCTACAAGAACAACCAGTGTTCTTAACTGCTGAGCCATCTCTCTAGCCCCCATACACACATTTTTGAGGTTACTGAAGCTTGCAGGCAAATCCTGGTTTACGGACTTTTGGAGGACAGCAACCTGAGGAACATGTGCAAGCATGTGGTCCAAGTTTTCCTTCCTAATTTTGCCCCCAGTGCTGAGCAGTGTTGGTTTATCTTGCCACAAGCACCAGGATATTTGAATTGTTGCAAAATTATTATTTTTAAAATAATAATCCATAGAGCTACTGTACTGTGTACAGGTAGGAGAGCCAGGGCATAGGGTAAATGTCTTCTTATTTTAACAAATGTCTGGAAT